AGTAAATAGTATACTTTAGTACGGCCTGTGTGTGCTTTTTTAGGAAGTCGCATCCAGTAGGCACTCCAAATCTGTGTGAGGTAAAGTTATTAGCATTTGGATAGTAATAGAACGTTCTTGGTGCTTTTTGTAATAGCGTAATCTGTAGAAGCGCGTTAGACAGGGAATCAGTCAAGGCCAGGGAAGCTCAATACAACAGTGCCTGGACTCGTACTTTGCTAGGAACTGCTTTTTACAAATCACCTATTTGGCTGATGATCCGGTGGGGGAATAGGTTCAAGAAGGACAATCACCGATGTGATTAATACAAGATTAAGCTTTTTAGGTCAATGCTACTCTAGCCATTTAGTGACATTACGAACGGCAACAGCTCAAGCCCGCCGATAATTTAAGTAGTGTCTGCGTTGCTATTCCAAAAAATAACAGCGGATTGTTCCCACACCCCCCCTCCCCCGACCGCACCAATTAAATTTTTTTTAATTTTGGGAGAGAACAAAAAGATGCAAACAGACAGAGAGACGCTTTATTTTAAAAATAAGATTTCCCCAGCTTTCAACAAAGACGTCCTCCATTTACAGTGAATAAAATTAGGTATACAAGTGACACAACAACTGGAAATGAAAGTTCAAATGAACAAAGAGGGATTAAGATCGGTTTAGGCCAACCGATGTATGTATACGAAAAGTTAAATGCGAAAAGAAGCAGGAAAAAACGGCGGCTCTAGTTGATAAGCCCACACAAACTGCAAACAAAAATTTAAGCAGTGAAACACGATGTGCATAATCAAAGGCCAACAAGTAGAGCCACAACGTTGAATAAGTGATCGATAAAGTCAGTTCACGCTTAGAAAAAGGACAGCCAGCCCAGCTGTCCCAAACGTTAGCGAAGAAGCATACATATTCCAGTTAGCACAATATAGTATTTGATTCTGTACACGGAATTCTGACTTTGAGAAGAAGATGAAGGAAGAGAAGAAGTTTTGGTCGCTGGGACGACACTTTCTTTGCTTATTTTTGCCTGAGGTATATGAGCTCGTCTGACACTTCTCTCAACTGGCCTGCTGGCGGAAAAGACTCTTTTACCATGCGTCTTCTCTTCCTCCTCCTCCGGTAGGCCCATCTCAGCCGCCACACTGTCCATGAGCTCAGGAAATAAGCCATGCATAATCAAGGGTATATAGGGTTTAACCTCACCCCAACCTCGTCTGATACCCTTCTCAAATTGCCTGGCAAATCTTTTCCACCGTCTGGATGTAGCCGGCTTCAGAACCCCTATGTTCCCCTCATTGAGTTCTGCAGTCGTCTTCATCTCCTCTGGTATGTCAGTCGCGGCCAGCGCACTTTCCAGGAGATGATCATCTTCTTCTTCTACGAGCACCCTTTTTGTTTCCTTGAGCTCCTCCTCGTTCTCCTGTGCCTTTGGGTAGGCCCTTGACAAGAGGACGGTAGACGCCAAGACCAGCAGGGTGATGAGTAGTGTTCTCGAAGGCATAGTTGTCAGAGGGTAGAGTCAGCTGTGAAAACCGGACAGGCGCGGATTTATATGTCCGCGTCGTGATTTGTTTATGCAGACAACAACAGCCGCAGGCGATGATCGAGTTTGGCGCCAAACGAGAGTCAAACGCAGTTATTTTAAGGAATAACTGGACACTGAAGCATCCTGCTTCATACGAGTAGGTGGCTTGGTTTGGCTGGGGCACAGAGGACTAGTCATGCACAGACACACCCTGTACGGAGGTGATCAGGCCGTCATTTGGTGGCCATGGAGTTATGAGAGGTGGTAAATACTCGAAAAACCTACTAAATGAATATTCCGGGTTTCAGGAACTTGTTGGAAATAGAATTGGCAAGACAGAGGGTGATTGCTGGTGACCTTTCTGAATACTGTAGTTTGCAGGTGTCCAGTTGAACACCGGCGCGCCAGGACATCGAGGAAGGGTAGTTGGTCATTCCTCTTCACCTCCATTGTGAATTGAATATTTGGATCAAACAAGTTTTTTGGAGAGAATACTGGCTTTATTTAAGATGAAAAATCCAAAATTTTCAGCAAAAAATGACTCCATTCACTAAGAGCAAAAGGTGGGTTAAGTAGCGGGTCATGATAAAAGGCAAAAGGTCATAGAATACTCATAATTAAAGGTTTACACGATATTCACATGTACTATGGAGACAGGTCAGCTTTCAACTTCTCAATTTCCGCTTTTTCAAACGTGAGGTAGCGTGCAAGGAATGGGGGTACAGAGTGCTGATATGCTGATGTGCGGCAAAACATATGGCGGAAGTCTCGACGCATTGGACGGGAAGACTTCGCAGCCATTAGTTCAAGGTGGAGAGGGTGAGCGACCTCATTAAGGATGCGATCAGCAAATTGCTCGACCGTTTTAAAATTGGCGCTGTATTATAGTGTCAGCTGAAAAAAAACATAGGAAACGCCGGCAGCTGAATAG